ATGCGCTTTCGCCTGCAGTGTGAACGTAGCCTTTGTCTCCTGTTCAGATGCTGATTTTGTGTTGTAATAGTGTTATGAGTAACACACAGATTGGCATGTTTTCCCTCCTTACTTCTTCCAGGAGAGCAGCTCCTGTCTGATGACATGAGTCTACCTGCTGACAGGTGAGCGCAGAAGGGCGCCAGCTTCACGCCACAATAACGATGCAATAACGGCTGGAGAGGACACACATGCTAGTTACACACAGCTGTAGAGTAGAAACTATTTGTTATGCATGAACTGAAAACAAACACTTGTTTTTTTTCTTAGTTTCCTGAATGTCTTTATTATAGGACCATGGCAGAAGTTAATGAAATAACTGTTAAGGGCATCACTTCATGTTGTGCAGAAACAACAGAGCTGCTCCCTTCAAGACAAACAACATCACAGTTTGCGTTTAAAGTTGTTTTTCTCTGTTCTGGGTTTGTCTTCATTCGGGGGTTTGACCTCTCGGTGCTGCTTTTTGCTCGTCAGTGTGGCTGTTATATAGCAGCACTGGGTTTACGTAAGTCAGTTAGTCTCATTATTTAATAGCCACGTACTAATGGCGACACTGCTGTTTGTTTAATGACTGAATTTCTAACAGTGTTAGGTGCATAGAAGCAGGACTGCAGTGCTTTTTAGTCACTTTATTTAATTCCTTGTGTATAAATGCTTTTCTAAGTCTGGCCTGTCTACAGCATATATATGTAAATAATATGTAGCCTGTCAATAAGAGTTTAGTGTTTCTACTGCTGTGCTGTTCATGCTGAGTTCAGTCTTCCTGCCCTTCAGGCTCAGTACCTTCTCCTCTTCCTTCACCCACTCGGCTCTCTTTATCCACCGCTCAAACACTTCGTTTCAGACACACAGTTTTCTTTTTTCTTTTTCTCCAGGTGAACCATTAGCTTTCCTTGTAAGTCATGTAAATGTCTTCGCTCTTAATAACAGCCGCGTCAGACTTTATTTGACATTTGAAAAGGCTAAACGATCAACTGAGTAACGTGGTTTATGAAGCTGCCGCTGCAGTCTGTGGGCTGAAACTTCATAGCACGCCACAGCCTCCGCGGTGACCCTCAGACTCTCAGGCAGGTGTTTTCACTTCAACATCTGCATAAACACCAGTTGACTGCAGGGCAATGGGCCTCTGCCCGCAAAGACTGTCACACATACAGCACACCTGACAGCTCATCAGTTATTATTAATTTAAAGGAGCAGTCTGAGTTTGGGTCTTCTCTTGATTCTGTAAAAATCTTTGTTAGCTTTACTGGACTCTATCCACACCTGCTCCTCTCCACTCCCACAGATTCAAACACTACTAAAACAACTGCCTTTTTTTTTTTTTAAATTCCATGTTTTATGTCTACAGTGAGTGAGCGAGCATTGAAGGCAGTAGCTCTGTTTAAATTATTAGTAACACCTCTGTGTTCCTGATGTGGTGTGTCAGCACATCTGCTCTGGAGAGTTTCTGTATGTGGGCTGTACTCAGGCACAAAAGTGCAATATTTAAAGGGCTAGTACACCCAAATTAAAAAGCTTACGTAGCGTTATCTATTAGTGAGATTGTTGTTCTTACATGGACACGATGGAGGGGCACGCAGGGCATTTACTTAGTACTCTCTCGATTAATCCTACGGATCATTTTCTCAGGATTTCATTTGGCTTATTTAATGGTTCCAAAGAGTGAAAAATGACCGTCGCAGAAAAAAACGATCGGCTTATCAGAAAGTTTTCCCTTTAATTTCCTCTTTATCTAGATTTACTGAATAATTGCTGCACCTCTAGGTGGGTGCTAATTAGTTTGGGGAGCTCTGAAAAATGACTTTCCTTCTAGACCCTCTTACCATTGATAATTTAATTAGAAATATGTGGGGACCTTCTAATGAAAACTTCCCAGGATGGAAGGTTTTTGTTTTGGGGGCTTTTTTTGGGTGGGAAACCAAACTAAACAAAAATAATCTGCACAGAATGAAAGTGTGTTTCTAATTTTGGGTGAACTGACCCTTTAAAGTCGAGGCACATTTAGTTTTCAGAGGAGTTGACAGCAGAGCTTAATAAGAATCGCTGTAATTATGTAACGTGTGCTCTGCTGCCCTGCTGGCTTTTCTTGATGGATTAATTATTTCTCACCTCACTTCTCTGAACAAACAGAGCGAACACGAGTGAAACGCTGTTGCTGCACTTCACTGGGAGAAAACATGTCGAGCACTCTGTCAGACCTTTCTCTTTCACCCCTCAGCTGTAACTCATTTTAAAAGCCACTTATTCTTCCCATAATCGGGAGTTTGTGTTGTAAATATGTTGGAGTATGTTCTTTTGAGGCTGTGCCTGAATGCACATGGCTTTAACAGCTGGACTGAGAGAAGATGGACTTCTTGTGCGCACCAAGTCTTTACACTAATAATTGAAAAAGTCCATTGCAGCTCATCTTGTAAATTACGCCTTTTCGTCTGTTCCACTGTTGCGCGCTTTCACATACATGACCGAAACATGGAAAAGCTCATATTCTTCACATGTTGTTTTGTCAAAAGCTGCTTTTGTTTTACATTTCCAGAAGTTGCAGTCTATAATTTTATGTGTATATTTTCTTTTTCTTTTGTGTGTAATAAATAAAATGTTTTATGATACTGAGAAAGAGCACGGTTGCTTATTTGTGTACCCCACAGCTCACTTATGCTTGTAAAGCTCTTGGAGCTGTAGCCGAAACCCAACAGGAAGTAATTTTGGCCCTGTTTTTTATGCTATTTTAGGATGTTATGTTTCAACCAACTACTAGGGATTCAATTTGATTAATTTTGTTTCTCAATCTCATCCAAAGACCTTGGTGATGCTAAGCTTGGTGAAGCGTTTGCAGCTTCGTTAACGGGCGTGTCTGTGGCGGCTTGGAGAATGCCATTTATCCGCCATAGCGTTGGAAGTTATCAGAACTCACGTCTTTGTCAGTTTGGCATGGTTGATAAACCTCCAGGGTTGAGACATGCTGAAAGGACATCGCCACCGTAGCTCCGCCCAGTGCCTACAGACTAAAGCCTTTTGTGATTTAAAAATTCTGATACATGTGACCTTTTCATCATGGGTTTACATTCTAACAGGACTAAAAGACTTGGAACAACAAAACAATCCAGTGGCACTGAAGCGACTCACAAAATGATAAGAGGAAGAATTAGTGCAAATTACCAAAAATGAGATGTGCAAAAATTAGGCTTGAAACAGGCGTAATATACTGTCAGCTCAAGACTACAGAGGTCCTGGGTTTGAATTCAGAGCCCTTGTATGTGCAGCTTGTATTTCATCCTTTTACTTAATTATGTTTAATTCTCCTGTCACTGTAATTGGTCCTGGGGTACCAGGATCACTGCCTGCTGCTTCTAACACTAATACAGCATGGAGGATATGCTCCTGAACCAGTCTTGAACCAGAAATTTTTGCTGCATAAGCCAAATATGCTAATCACTACCATTGAATAATAAGCAAAAACAAGTAAAAGCCAACCCCCCCCCCCAAACAAACAAACAAAAAAAAAAAAAACGAGAGGGTTTATGGATATTGTTTAGAACAGCATGCACATTTTGGGTTTGAGAGAAGGGGTATGCTCCTTATTCGTTGTAGTCAACCCTGAAGTGAGCAGTGGAAAGAAGGTCAGACGGATTCAAAGCAGGACTGAGAATGACTGAAAATACAAGAAAGATTCAAAGAGACCTCAAACTGATGCAAATCAGCTAAACAAAGACAAAAATGTGCATCAGAGAGACACAAAATGTAGAAGTCTGGATCTCAGGAGGGAAGCGGTGTCCATTTGGAGTATCAAATAGCAGCTTTCACTGAATTGAAAGGCCTGAGCCCCTGATATTAGATGCTCAGTATATTGAAATGAATCGGTAATCATATTTATTACACTCTGGTACGGGTTAATACTGCAGAGCATCTTTAAATGTCACGTGTAAAACACATTATTTACACATTATTCGCTGCACTGGTTCCCATACTCGAACACGGTTCTTTTCCCGTTTCCATATTGGAATAAGGGACAGAAACATTTTTACCCTTTTACCTCTGATTCTCATTTTCCTCGGAGCCTGAACTGCTGGAATGGAGAGAATAAAGCCAGATTATGATAGGTATGATAGGGGTGAAGTGATGAGTCTTTTTATAGAAAGAATGTGGAGGACTGCTCACTTTTGTAAAGCTGTTTATGTAACAGCAGACAGCACCGTTCCACATGAAAGCCCTGTTACGGCATCACATCTCCGCACACCGTGGCTTCACTTCGCCATACGTGAAAACTCTTTGTGCAGGTTTCCGCTTATTCTCTGCTGCAAATGAACAAAAAAAATGTCAGACCTTCTGTGGATGGATTTTATATCCCTCGGGCCATGTTTGACCAGACCACATTAGTGACTTCACCTTCTTTGCCCATACACAGATGGCTGCTTTTTAATTTTAGGCCATAAGAAAACAAAAGAGGGACCATCTGTGGGGTCACCCACGGGAGTCAAAAGGGATGATTGAGCCCTCGGGTCCGGCTTTACTGCTCAGTCAGTAACCGGAGCTAGAAAATCCTCATCATCTGTAGCTCAGGAGGCCAAAAGGTGTGAGACGATTAATCGGAGTGGAAAGGAAAAATAAATCAATCTTTGCTTTTTGTGAATGTGACATGTTTCAGCCTGAAAAGGTTAATTACACCAATCCAAACCTTTTTGCCTCAGACCTGTGACAAGTAGCGAAAGCAGTCGTGGAGGGCAACTACAAGTTAATGCAATATAAGAAACTTTCTGCTTCTTCCTCACTGCATAAGAAAGGCAAATGCTCAATTCTCACATTTCTCACACAGCTTTAGTTATTTTTAATATTTCAACACTGACTGATCCTATGAGATCTAACCCTAACCGGAGCACTCAGCTTTAAAGATAAGGATTAGACCTAGCCTAAAACTCACTGAAAATCTAGAGAAGCTCCGCTTCACCTTCAGGTTATTTACACTGTTAAAAAAAACAACAACAAAACAAAATAAAATCCTTAAAAATAAATCCAGAAAAGTCGGTCATTTTTTCCTGATTTCCAGAACTTAGTAGAATTTCCCCAAACTAAAAAGGGTCAGGTATTAAGGGTTAGAGTTAAGACAACAGAGGTTGAAAAGGCAGCAGTTTTTGTGAAGATGAAATCAATACTGGCTAGTTATGACTCTTTGCCAACTTTTACAGTCCTGACTTGTTTTACATTAAGAAATTCCCCTGAAGCTAGAACTCCCTGTTTTAAACAGAAAAGAAAGAAACAAAGTCAAAATTCAGTATTTTATTAGCACCGAGCCTTCTCATTTGTTTGGTTATTATCACTTAGATATTAGTATTAATAATTACAAAGTAAATTAATTATTTTACTGTTGATATTTAATTAAATGTAGCTGATGAGTCACCTTTTCAGGGCTTCAAATGAAGAACTTTCAATAGCTTTGTGGTGTTTTGTTGGCCTGGTTTATACGTGGTGGTGTTGCTTCAGTAGAGGACCTTAGTACTCCTCACCACTGCTTAAGTCACTTGTAATGTAGGGGAGTGAAAAGTGTCAGTTTTTCCCTTTTGAAATGTAGTGAAACAGAAGTGTGGTTATGGTCTGGCTATCAACTACGATACAATACAATAAAAACTAACTAGACTTTTGAAATAAACAAACTGACTGAAGGTACACTGCTCAA